GTGTGTTGTGTTTGTTGTGTGTTTGTGTTTGTGTGTGTTTGTGTTTTGTGTGTTTGTGTTTGTTTGTTGTTGTGTGTGTTTGTGTGTGTGTGTTTGTGTGTTTGTTGTTGTGTGTTTTGTGTGTTTTTTGTTTGTTGTTGTTTGTGTTGTGTTTGTTGTGTGTTGTGTTTTGTTGTGTTGTTTTGTTGTTTGTGTTTGTTGTGTTTGTTGTGTTTTGTTGTTGTGTGTGTTGTTGTTTTTGTTGTTGGTGTTGTGTTGTGTTTTGTGTTTTGTGTGTTTGTGTTGTGTGTTTTTGTGTGTTTGTGTTTGTTTTTGTTTTGTGTTTTTGTTGTGTTGGTGTGTTTGTTGTGTGTTTGTGTTGTTGTTTGTGTGTTGTGTTTTTGTTGTGTTGTTTGTGTTGTTTGTGTTGTTTGTTTGTGTTTTGTTTTTGTGTTGTTGTGTGTTGTTGTGTTTGTGTGTGTTTTGTGTGTTTGTGTGTTGTTTGTTTGTGTTTGGTGTTGTGTTTTGTTTGTGTTTTGTGTTGTGTGTTGTTTGTGTTGTTGTTTGTTTGTGTTTTGTTTTGTGTGTTGTGTGTTTGTGTGTTTGTTTGTTGTTTTGTTTGTGTTGTTTGTGTGTGTGTTGTGTGTGTTTGTGTTGTTTGTGTGTGTTTTGTGTTGTGTTGTTGTGTTTGTGTTGTTTTTTTGTTGTTTGTGTTGTTGTGTTTTGTTTGTTGTTTGTTTGTTGGTGTTGTTGTTTTGTTTTTGTGGTTGTTTTGTTGTTTGTTTTTTGTGTTGTTTTTGTGTTGTGTTTGTTGTTTGTGTGTGTTTGTTGTTGTGTTTGTTGTTTTGTGTTGTTTGTGTTTTGTGTTGTGTTTTGTTTTGGTGTTTTTGTGTTGTGTTGTGTTGGTTGTGTGTTTTGTTTTTGTGTTTGTTTGTGTTTGTGTGTTTGTGTTGTTTGGTGTGTTTTTGTGTGTGTTTTTGTGTTTTGTTGTTGTTTGTTTGTGTTGTTGTTTGTTGTTTGTTTTTGTGTTTGTTGTGTTTTGTGTTGTTGTTTTTTGTTTTTGTTTGTTGTTTGTTTTTGTTGGTTTGTGTTTTGTGTTTTTGTTTGTGTTGTTTTGTGTTGTGTGTGTTGTTTGTGTTGTGTGTTGTGTTGTTTTTGTTTTGTTGTTGTGTTTGTGTTGTTTTTGTGTTTTGTGTGTTTTTTTGTTTGTTTTGTTTGTGGTTTGTGTTTGTTTTGTTGTTGTTGTGTTTTTGTTTTGTTTTTGTGTTTTTTGTGTTTGTTGTTTTGTGTGTTGTTTGTGGTTGTTGTGTTGTTTTGTGTTTGTGTTTGTTTTTTGTGTTGTTGTGTGTTTTTTTGTTTGTTTGTTTGTGTTTTTGTGTTGTTTGGTTTGTTGTTTTGTTGTGTGTTGTGTTTGTGTTTGTGTTTGTTGTTTGTGTGTTTTTTTTGTGTTTTGTGTGTTGTGGTTGTTTGTTTGTGTTGGTTTGTTTGTTGTGTTTGTTTTTGTTTTGTTTTTGTTGTTGTTGTGTTGTGTTTTGTGTTTGTGTTGTGTTTGTTGGTTGTTTGTTTGTTTGTTTTTGTTTTGTGTGTGTTTTGTTTGTGTTTGTGTGTTTGTGTTGTTTTGTTGTGTGTGTTGTGTGTTTTGGTGTTGTTGTTGTTGTGTTTTGTGTTGTGTTGTGTTTTGTGTGTTTTGTTGTGTTTTTGTGTGTTTGTGTTGTTTGTTTTTTTTGTGTTTGTTTGGTTGTTGTTGTTTTGTGTGTGTTGTTGTTTTTTGTTTTGTGTTGTGTGTTTGTGTTGTTTGTGTTGTGTGTTGTTTGTTTTTGTGTTGTTTTTGTTTGTGTGTTTGTGTGTTGTTGTGTTTTGTGTGTTTTGTTTTTGTTGTGTGTTGTGTTTTTTGTTGTTTGTTGTGTTGTGTTTTGTTGTTGTGTGTTGTTGTTGTTTGTTGGTTGTGTTTTTGTGTTTTGTGTGTGTGTTTGTTGTTTGTGTTGTGTTTTGTTGTGTTTGTTTTTGTGTTTGTTTGTTGTGTTTTTTTGTTTGTGTTGTTGTTGTTTTTGTTGTTGTGTTTGTGTTTGTGTGTTTGTTTTTGTTGTTGTTGTTTTTTTGTGGTGTGTTGTTGTTGTTGTGTTTTTTGTGTGTTTTGTGTTTTGTGTTTGTGTGTTTTTGTGTTTTTTTGTTGTGTGTTTGTGTTTTGTGTTTGTTTTTTTTGTTTGTGTTGTTGTGTGTTTGTTTTGTTTGTTGTTTGTTTTTTGTTGTTTGTGTGTTTTTTGTGTTGTGTGTTGTTTGTGTTTTTGTTTGTTTGTGTTTGTTTGTGTGTTTTTTTGTGTTTGTTGTTTGTTGTGTTGTTGTGTTTTTGTTGTGTTTTGTGTTTGTTTGTTTTGTTGTGGTGTGTGTTGTGTTTTTGTGTTTTGTTTGTTTTGTGTTGTTTTTTGTTTGTTGTTGTTTTTGTTTGTGTGTGTTTGTTGTTTTTGTGTTGTTGTGTTGTTTTGTTTTGTTTGTTTGTGTGTTTTGTTGTGGTTTGTGTTGTTTTGTGTGTTGTTGTTTGGTTTTTTTGTGTGTTTGTGTTTGTTTGTTTGTTTTTGTTGTGTTTGTTTGTTTGTTTTTGTTTGTTTTTGTGTTGTGTTTTGTTTGTTTTGTGTTGTGTTGTTTTGTTTGTGTTTTTTTGTGTTTGTGTGTTTTGTGTTGTGTGTGTTTTGTGTGTGTTTTTGTTTGTTGTTGTTTTGTTGTGTTGTGTGTGTTTTTTGTTTGTTGTTTGTTTTTTGTGTTGTGTGTTGTTTTGTGTTTGTTGTTTGTGTTTTGTGTTGTGTTTTTGTTTGTGTGTTTTTTTGTGTTTTTTGTGTTTTTGTGTTTGTTGTTTGTTGTTTTTGTTTGTGTGTTGTTGTGTTTGTTTGTTGTTTGTGTTGTTTTTTTGTTTTGTTGTGTTTGTGTTTGTTGTTTTTTGTTGTTTGTTGTTTGTGTGGTTGTTTGTTGTTTGTGTGTTTGTTTGTGTTTTTGTGTGTTGTTGTTTTGTGTTTGTGTGTTTGTTGTGTTGTTTTTTTGTGTGTGTTTTGTTGTTTTTGTGTGTTTTGTTTGTGTTTTTTTTTGTGTTGTTGTGTTGTTGTTTGTTTTGTTTGTTTGTTTTGTTTGTTTGTGTTTTTTTGGCTAAAAGACACTTTAATCACCAACCTTTTATAATCACAGTCTGGTAAGAGACATATATGGAAAGAGAAGGGTTTTTTAATTTAAATAATTTAGATATATTGAAGGGAAAAAAGGTAACATAACATGCCTAATTTAAATCTTTAAAAATATGTTATATAGTATCGTCTGTTAAAGCTCTAGCAATGTAAAACTAAAATTAAATTAAAAAAGTAAGAACTAAACATTCTTTCTGTTTGCAAATGGAAAGATTTATATCCAATGGTATTGAATTAGATTAAAAATAAAAATTTAATACAACTGATTAAAAATAAAATACACTGCAATACAATTACAAAGTTTATTTAACAATTTATATTACAATTTTTAATATTTTCTTATTCTTAACTTTGGATGTTTCTTTAATATATCTATTCAATTTTCTAATTTTAAAATATAATTTACACCTTTACTAACATTACATCTGAACACAGCTAAATCCATTAGCGATTTTAAATAATTCTTGGTTAATTTTAATGACCCTTTGTTAAAATTGTTAAAAATATGGTCCAGTTCATTACATTTAATTAGAAAATCTGGATATGGTTTAAGTAAACCTTCGGAAAGATGGTTTACCCAGTAAACCGATGTCAACGTACAAGATAAACGATAAAACAAAACTAAATCTCAAGGTTAGTAGATATTTACAAGTAAGTAGATACTTAAATATCTACTAACCTTGACTAAATTTGACAAAACTCCATACAACACAGAACATTTCTGGTGACATTTGTCGCCAAGTGACGTCACACGACTGATCGCGTGGCGCGTGGGTTTATCTGTAGTTTTATAGTATCATGCAACAAACCTTATTCTTATGTCCTTACTGTCATCTGTCGCGTCCTGTCACTCCTGTCAGTTGTCATTGTAAAGGCCGTATGACACTACGCATTTTCTTGTATTATTTCTTATATCGTTTCTGATATAGGAAGTTATTTATGTTTTCTTGTATCTAAGTCTTATATATAAAATTTTCTTCGATAAAGTAATTTTTATTTGCTAAAGATAATGTTTTGTCACAGAAGAAATAACAATTGTTGGTTGAGTTTATCGAAAGTACAAGCTGATTATAGCCACAAATGTCAAACATGGAACAAAAACTTTCGCTATAGCAGCGTTGGCATGTTTTTGTAATGTAGATGCTGTATACTTCAAATATAAAAAGATAAAGCTTTAGAAAAGTACATTTTGTTTATATTATATTATGAATTCTGCAATTTTTGATTTATATAAAACAACAATGAGTAAATATTTGTTTTTTTGGGGATTTATTACAGTTAATAATTAGAAATTTATTTAGCAATTACCCTTTGATAGATTAGAGGATAGATTTGGCAATCGTCAAGTCAGCAGTTGCCAGATTATAAAAAATTTGCAATTAATCTCGAAAGAGACAAATATCTACATCGCTATTGCTTCATGTAAATTAAAAGTTACAGAATTCATTAAATGGTATAATCAAAATGTACTTTTTAAAAGCTTTATCTCTTTATATTTAAAGCATACAACATGCGTTATAAAAACATGCCAACACTGCCAAACCGAAATATATTTGACATTTGCGGCTATATTCAGCTTGTACTTTCGGTAAACTCAACCCAATTGTTTATTATTTTGTGGCTGTGTAAAATGTCATCACAAACGTTTTGTTTCAAAAGAAAAAAGAAGACGAGGACTCTTATTATAAACTGTGGCTTGTCATTGGTTTTTTTTGCTTTGCTGGATTGTGCGAAATTATGTGATTTTATGCAAGATGCGAAAATTATGCGCCGGCAACTAAATTATGCGCAAATCGCATAATTATGCGCCGATTGGCAACACTGTTATAAACATCATATTGTAATACTTACATAATAAGATAAATAAACTTCGTTTCTCTGTCCTTTAACTTCGTTTGTCACTTTTTTGTTAAACACAAATAAGGTACCGTCGAGTACATGTATGTTCTACGTAAAACTACAGATTCCAAGATAATTATATAAAAATGTTGTCTATTAAACGTAATGAGTTGCATTAAGAAAATTGCAGTTCAAATAATAACTACAACTACGCTTCAGCTTTACACTATTTAAGTACGATTATCACAGCAAAACTGACCTTGCGGGACCGCAAATCTATCCTACAATCACCCAAACCTTTAACTGACCGACCGACCACCTTAAGACTTCTTCACTATAAGCTAAGCTAAGATGTCTAGGCACCACAGGGCAGTAGGATAATTAGTTCGTACTACGCAGTGGCGTAACCTACGCGGTATCGAGTTTGATAAGGTAAAAAGATTTTAAAAATTAGGGTAATAAACAATTAATATAGCATGGAAATTTATATATGTTCTACAACCACATATACATATATCATATTGACTGAGAATATTTCAAGGACTAAATATAAATTAGAAAATAATGTAAACGATAAACTTTGCCCCCTTCAAATACGTAAGTTATAAGGTTCAAGCAAATTGTTTCATTTAAAAATTATTTTTATTCTATATTTTATAAGGAAAAAAGAGAGTACGAGGAAGTCTCAATATCTTGGTTAATTTGTTCTATAGTCAATATAAATATTTTAATAAAATAAATTTGTCACATTATAAATACATCTCTAAAAAAATGACCTAAGACTTCAGTCGTCAGAACCAAAAAATGCCACTAAACCTCTAAACATTTATTATCATTTTTTGTGTAGAATGAACCATTCTCGCAGAAACAACGATTAAAGCGATCGGGATTTTTGAATGTCGGTTACCCCCGCGAAATCAATGCTCAACAAATTTGTATCAGCTCGAGTGTCCTATCGACAAAAATTATCATCATCATCATCATCCAGTCGAATTTTCACATCCATTCTTGGATATAGGCCTCTTCCAAACGTCTCCAGTTCTCTCTATCTCTAGCTGCTGCAATCCAGTTTGTATCTATCCTCCTTAGATCGTCGGTCCATCGGGTGGTGGTCTGCCTCGACTTCGCTTGTCGGCTCTTGGTCTCCACTCCAAACAAACAAAAATCATAAAGCGTTTTAAAGGTGAACAGTGCAGCTTTCGTAAGCAATTTTTGTGTTTTGCTGAAAATTAAGTCATTTTTTACAAAAAAGGGCTAAATAAATAAACGTGGCGCCATTTTTGCTATTGTTTATGATTCTGATGAGATCAATACAATGTATCCCTTTCATTGACCGGCCTTTATGGAGTTTCCATAACTAGAACCTAAGCTTCAAAACCTATAGCATAAAATTTTACTTTTCAATTTTGGCAACAAATGTTAGGCATTTGAAATATGCTTAAAAAACGCTTAATTCAAACTTTCACATTACAAACAATATAAAACATTTAAAACTGCTCTTTTTTAATTAAACTAGTACTTTTATCAAAACTACTTAACTTCTGCTATAAACTACATCCAAAACTGTCTTCTCGGAGGCATTTCTGGTGACGTACGATCATGTTTAATGTAAAAGCTTAAATTCTGCGTTTCTAGTTATATTTCAAATGCTTTGTATTTGTTTCCAAAATTCATAATAATATTTTCAAGACTCAGAGGCAGATACAGAAGATATTGTCGAGGGTGGGGGTCATGGGTCTTGAGGGGTGATTTTGATATAGGATTTAGATTTTTGCACCTTTTCGATTGAGTGCCTCATGTAAGCGAACTATTTTCTCTATTATTTATATTTAGGGAATTATTTTAAGCTATACACTAAATCAATGAGAACTTATTAAAACACAAATACCCTACGGGTGCAAAGAAGGGTACAACATTAAGGGGTCTTAAACTTAACCAAAAAAAAATAATTTAAACCCCATACTCTATGACAGTAAAATCAAGTTTACAAAACTATTAAATCAAAGAAAAGTTATTAAAATATAAATACTGAAAAACCAAGGACTGACAATTTAAACTAGATATTTTAAAGACAATTAATTTAAACCCACCTATCCTATGGCTACAAAATCAAGTACAAACCAAGGATAAATAAGTATAAACCAAAGTTAAGTAATTTAAAATGCAATAAGTCAATGTAAGTGTAAACATTAAAAAATATATTAAACGTTCCTATTAAACTCTATCTTATCGTTGGATATCCAATATCAATTTGTAAAAACGTTTATTTATTCCTTATTGCTATACGGAGTGGAAACATGGACTCTCAGAATTACAAGTATGAGGTGTATAAAAGCCTTTGAAATGTAGGTTTTTGAAAAGTGCTGAAGATTTTGTAGACAGATCATGTGACCAACAACGAGATGATGAGAAAAATTAGGGGTTAAGAGAGAAACTCCTAAATATAGTAAACAATAGAAAACGAGTTATCTAGGACATATTTACAGAGGAGAAAAATATAACTTTCTACAGCTCATAACGGAAGGGAAAGTAGAAGAAAAAATAGGTTCAGGAAGAACAAAATGTTCCTGGACTGAAAAAGGTAAAAGACTTTACAGGTATAGACACACATTCGATAGTAAGAACAGCTCAAGATAGAGAGCAATTTGCTCTAGTTATAACATCGAGCAAAAAGACAAAAGAGGGAATGTAAAGGTAGTGGGGCAAAAATATTGTTAGACAGGAAGTGCTATCTTTAGAGGCCACATTAAAAAAGGAAAGAGAGTCTCTCTCTCCTTGTTTGACATCAAATTTAGTTGGGTTATGTTATTGTTTGTCCCAAATGTCACATGAAATCTTATTTATATTGAAATTTTTTAACAATTGTGTCGCCATTTTAGACTATTATCGTTAATAATTAATTAAAACTTTCTTCGTTTTCTTCGAAAGTCGTTCTTCTAAATCAGTTAAGATATTGTTACGAGCATGCATTCAGCGTGACCCGTGTAACGGTTGCATCTCGAAGCAGCATCTCAGGCATCGAGGCCCATCCACAGATCTCTCGAACGCAAGAGAACAATCCGTCACGTAGGCGAATTAGAGGTGGGAAAGTTCTAGAAACATACTAACTTTGGTATATATATGTAACGATTGTTAAGAGCTAGTTTAGTTGATAAGGTAGTGCCGAACTGTAAATTATAAATAAATATATTTATATAAATTCGAACTGCTCGTGTTATTTAAAAACCCTACAATATGGTCTAAAAAAGTAAATAAATAGATCTTCGGAAATATTCTTCGCAAAAGTTAGCAGGTTGTTTTTGACGACAGGTTTGACGAGAAACTATACGAGGTATCTTCAATTCAATGTTAGTTGTTCAGCTACTTTATTTACTTTATAGTAAAGTTTGCTAAGAACAGATTCAGCATTTGATCTTTTATTTTGAAGAATGCATTTAGTGTTCTCTATGGTCTCAGTAGTCTTATGCAAATCTAATTTTGGTGACCTCGCTCTGAAACTGAAGATGACCTTCATGCCTTTCAACCCAAAGAGTTTCACAAATACCTTGGCCTTGGAGAGCAGCTCCCAGTTCCTTTATTTTTATTTACTAACGTATCAGACAGAGCTATTACAACAACAATATGCACTTGAATAGTCATTATAGATAAATTATAATATGTAGCACGCAGGTCTCAATAATTATAATACATAATTTAAATAAAAACAACCAATTCGTAGACAAAACTGAAGATAAATGTATATGAACATGTCTTGTACATTGAATGAGCAATACTGTGTGGGCGGTAATTCTATCTCATCGATAATCGAACGATTCTCTGGCACTCAAATGACAAATTGACCAAATTTGAAAATCGCGTATCTCTGAATTCGCGGATGTCGGGGTACGGGGGTAGCCTTAGTCGATGTATTTAGAATTGTTGATTTTTTTTTTAAGAACAATATAAAGGGGCTTCCGTATAATTCTACACTTACTCCTAGAATAAATGAGTTTGAATCATTTCAATTCCTGATTTAGTGCTTATAGGGTTGATTGGTTTTAAATGATTTTTTTTTAGTTTATTTACCTACAACTAAATACATTGCCGAATAATATATTTTCTGATTAAAATTCCTAAGTGTCGCAATTAAGGCCTAGATTAAATTGTAATGTAAGCAAATAGTTTAAAGTTTGTTGGTATGTATTGATAGAAAGCAATAACCCCTGTGCTGAGGTATGACTTATTTGTGAGAGAGCACAGTTCATTACAAGTAGTTACCTAACGAACATCATGTTGTGTAATTACCAGTGGCTGTCAATAAAATCAACATTTTCCGCGTAACTTCAACCTTTTATTATATTTATCATCGTCGATCGACAAGAAGCGGACAAAGGGGGCATTTACAAACCGATTCGAACCTCAAATCTACGTTCGAATCTTTCCAACGGTTAATTCTACACAAAAAGCGCCAATAAAGATTTTTGTTTAAAATTATCTGATCTACATTTTTTTATTTAAAACTTTTTTGTTTCCGACGTACAGATTCTTCGTAAATCTATTTTTTTTTGTTTTTTGGGGAAAACCCTTAAGTAAAAGTGGTGAACTTTTTTGCATCTTATATACGGTCCCAAAATTAATATTCTCGGCAAAATTCAGCTTGCTCGTATGATTTTTAGGGATCAACTCTCTGAGGACTGGACTAATGATGTTGACTCATTACATAAAATTACATATAGCCTGTGACTCATGGAGTTAGTCCTAGACAATAATATATAAATTTTTATTTAAATTATTATATATTACGAAGGTTATTTACATATTATAATGGAGTTATATTCACAAAGCTTATAAATACGAAATATCAATATGTCAGACTGTAAACAATTTCACGCTACTATCTAATAATATACTTATTTTTAAATTATGTAATACATTTATATATTAACCAATATACTTATTTCAATGTCATAAGCCATAAGATAATAATTAAACAGCTTATTTATACAAAAGTAACCACGTTTTAAATATAGTGCGTTTTATTACGAGCAAGCATCGATGCGTCATTTAAATACTAATATTTTTATTCACCTAAAAGTTGTATCCCATTATAGTAGTAACGTACCTAAGTGCCTAATAGTAACGTATACGCCTAACAATACATTGGTTGACAAGGTAGTCCTGTCCCCACAGTCCTGTACTTTAGTTAAATATGCAATCTGTTGCCAAATCGTGCTAGAAATGATGCTGATAGAAAAAGCATTTAAACATCAGATGTTCGAAAATCTTTTCAGGCCATAATAATGAAAATATCTTCTTCGATAAGGTCTTTTTCACCTAGTCCAGAAACCGTACCTGTACGGTATGGCTTCTGCGCATTAAATAAAATTCGTTTCAACTGATAATGAACTGTTCATCGAACCGAACCTCTGCCGTGCCAATTCAACTTATGATCGTTCCCCACACACATAGTGATCAACGCTGCCCCTAGGAACATGTATATACCACTTACAGTGGCATTAACACGTCCGAAGAT